TACTTCTCACCTTTTCCTGAGACTCCCCTCCTTTGAATGTCCCCTCTTCCCATCTCCTCTTCTCTTATTTAAGGTCAATATTTAAATCACAGGTTATGTTTCATCTTCTCCACAAAGACTTTCCTACCTCTTACCAGTCCCTCTGTATTCTTTTCTGATTACTTTTCTGCATAATAATAGTTTCTGATTTTTCTAAGTACCAAAAAACTGCAATGGGCCTCATTGAAAAGTAATCTATCGGAAAGACTGAAAGATTATTAGACTTTGCCAGAGAACCACGCAGACATCCAGGTACAGAGAACAAAGAAAGGTTTATTACCAGGAAAGGGGCCAGCAAGACCCCTTCTCACAAGGGAGAAGTGAGAAGAAGTGCCAGCTATGTTCTGAGGTGACCTATATAACCTAGGAGATTTAGGAGGGGCTAGAAGGGGCTAGGAGGCGGAGACCCTGGTGTGGATGTGAGGGCCAGGGGCTTCATCATGGTAGACTAGGATTTATGGCTGCTGCCCAAATAGTAGACAAGGGTCCTGCAGCTGTCCAGAGGTGAAGGTCACTCTAAGGGGCTTTTGTTGCCTTATATGGTGGTAACTGCCCCAGAGAAGTGCCATCCCAAGGTAAAGGGGGTTGCAGGCTGATTATTTACTGCTTTTACTACATGGGCCTGGTGTCGCCTAGGAAGGGAGCATGCTAAGCTGTGGAGAAGGAAAGGACTGTACTAAGCTATGGCAAGGGAGTTTATTTCGCTAACAAAGACAATACAGCTATGGAATTCAGTTTTTGGTGCCCCCGTTTACATGCTTATGACTCTGGGAGAGTTAACCTCTCTGTCTGTTTCCCTGTCTATAAAATGGGAATAATAGTACCTACTTCATTTGCACAATATTTTTAATTGTAATTAATTTTTTATTATCTTTAAGTGGTTGTACAAAGAAGTTTCCATTCTACAAAACAGTATATGAATACACAGTATCTGATAACATTGTCACCCATCATTCCTAACTCACCCCTTCTCTCACTTTTCTTTTTTTTTTAAGTTGAGATTAGGTGACTATGTAAATTTCACATATTTCACAGTATTGTGGAATAGTGATAGTTAAAGTCACACACACATTTTAACCTTCACAAGGCAAATTGTCATTATCATGGTCTATAAAGTTTGTGAATTCTATGAGCTTTTATCTTTTTCTTTTTCTTTTCTTTTCTTTTTTTTTTTTGTCAGTCGTGGGGCTTGAACTCTGGGCTTGGGCGCTATCCCTCAGCTCTTCACCTCAAGGCAAGCGCTCTACCGCTTGAGCTACAGCACCACTTCTGGTTTTCTAGTGGTTTATTGGAGATAAGAGTCTCAAGCCCAGGCTGGCTTTGAACCTCGATCCTCAGATCTTAGCCTCCTGAATAGCTAGGATTACAGGGGTGAGCCACCTGTGCCCTGGCTAATTCTATGAGCTTTGACAATACAGTTATTTCTTCCACATCAGGTGATATTTACATTTCTTTCCTTTTGGTTAGTGTAAGCTGTTCCCTCTTTCCCTCTCATTCAATAAGTATTTTGAACAACTTTTATGCATCTGGCATTGTGTTGAGTACTGAGAATTGAAAAAGAGAGGCACGGGCCTTAATCTTGTGGAGGTTACAAGTCAATGAAGAAGGCAGATGTGAGTTAAATTACCAGTATGTATGCAGTTGATTGTACAGAAAGATCATGATAATCCAATTTAGTTGGTGAGACAGTGTAGATGAAAAGCTTGTGTTTCATTTAAACTGAAGCTTGAAGGATGAGAGGGCAGGCAAACAGAGGATTTCCAGGCAGAGAGAAAGGTAAATTTGAAAAGACAAGTCTGTTGAAGGAAACAAACCCATCATGGCTGAGGTCTCATTCAATGCTATGGGGACTGAGATAGCAGATGGTTCTGTCAATTACTAGCATATAACAAAACATCCTCAAGCTGAGTTGCTTGAAACAAATTTAATCTGCCAATCTGGGTGGGGCTCATTGAAAACAGCTCATCTCTGCTCTGCCCCAGGCCCAGTCAGCAAAATAGAAAGAATGAGGGAGAAAAAAAACCTGTATCATCCTTTATCAGTTTAGCCTGTATCAGTTTAGCTTCTGAAGATTCTTAGTCTTACTTTTGCTATAGTTACTACCATACCTGTACAGATTTAAGGTAGAAACCATGGATATTAGTTGTCCATAGGAGAATTTCAGTGTCCTATCATAATAAAGGCATGTTTAAAGGGAGACATTTATGTGACCATTGGTGGGTAATAAAGTATATTTAAAGATATACACTGTTAGTAGAATTTACATCCATAGTTTAAAATATTACTTAAATTACCACCACCCAACTTCCCTCACTAGTACTTAACATTGCTGTTTTGCTGCTTTGAGTTACACAACGTTAATGAGCATTTATATTTTCATGTTAATTGAAATAACACACTTTACAGATTGGAAACCACAGGTCATGCTATTTACTAGGCACATTACATATGGAAGGATATATTGTTATTCTGTATACACTATCTTTTTGACTGGTCAACTCTTCAAGGTCCAGTATACCTCTCTGTAACCCTGATGAGTAAGTACTTCAGTGCTCTGCCTAGAGCAGACACTATAAATATGCCTTTTGTTGTTGTTAAGGTATAATGATTGAGATTTCCTGATCTCATATTTTTTTTCTATCTAGTATTGCTTTTAGATTCAGATTAAGCAATCTATGTCTAACGAATTTTTTCTTCCAAAGTTTTTATTAGCATAACTATACATTATAAAGAAATGTCATAGTGACATCTAAATACACAAATATTATATAGTTTGACCAAATTCACCCCATCTAAATCACACTTTATCTCTCCTTGTCATTATTCCCTTTTAACAGATTTTACTGGGGTTCATTGTGCTATTTTGATACATATGCCAAAGGAAACAAGGCAAGAAGACACCAGAATTAAAAGAAAAATGCTAAAGTAAAATATTGGTAGAAAGGACATTGGCTACAAGGCACAAATGTGTTTGCTTATATTAATAATAAAAGAACAGATGGTGTGTTTTTTTTCAATGCTCCCTATAAAAGGGTGCTTTACAAAATAACTCAAAGAATATAACATTGAATTGTGAGGCCTCCTATTGCTTTAGTTTTTTGAGCAAACGTTTTTTTATACAAGTATAATCCAATTGCATTTTGAAATAATTGAATTTACTATTTAAGTTACCTTACAGTTTCTCAAGAAGTCATTCACTGCAGTAGGTAAATCAGAATGTCTCTACAATGTACTGCCTGGCTTAGAAGGAGCCTTTTACTGATAAGGATATTGAGATCTATAAAATCAATGTGCACTAAGTAACATGGTTTTCTCTCAAAAAAGGGCATTCTGCAAAAAGCCAGAGGCATGCCAGTTCAATTCAACAAATATTTAATTAGCGCTTGTGATTTCCAAGACACCATGTTGGGTACTGAAGAAGTAGACATAACTCCTGAATGCCAGAGGGAGATAAGACCTGGATCCAGGAATTAGAGTGGAAAGCAGAATCACGGAGTGGGAAAGGCATAATGCAGGAAGAGCCTAGAGGATCTTAAAATAAATTAACTTTAACTTTCTTGCCTGCCTGGGTTTTTTTTTTTTTCTTTTTTTCTCCAAGGTTCTATTTTGGATCCTCTTTCATATGTGCCAGGTTCCTTGTTGGCAGAGGATCCACGACCCTGTGAGCGCTCTCCCCTTCCTTTTCTTTCTCCTTTCCTCCCCAGTTTGATGAGCTGTTCTGCATTTGGACCAGCATCTACTGTGTGGGTGGTGGAACATGTAATGTTATTTTGGTTCTAATTATGAGCGCGGCTTTACTGGGGAGCAGAGGCCGAGGCCGAGGCCGAGGCTGGGAGGATGCTCCGCGGAGGCGTTACTAAGGTTACTAGACAGAGGACGGCAGGTGACAGGCAGGCAGGCAGGGTTGGTGTTTTTTCTTTTCCTGAGACAAAATTCGTGGCGGGCGTGGGTTGAGCCACACGGCGGTACTTGTTGGAGTTCCTCGAGGGGAAAGGAGGGAGGCCCGGGGCGAGGGGGTGGGGGGCGGGGAGAGCGAGAAAGAGAAAAGCTGAGCGCCTCTGCTCCCTCCTCTTCCCGGGCCTTTTCCTCAGCCACTCTGGTTTCCCGGAACTGTTCTAACTGTAGCACAAAGTCGGCGTACCCGGAAGCGGTACCTTTTAGGTGTGACACGTGCCTGAGCCAGGCCGGAAACAGCTCCCAGTCGAGACCCGTAGAGCGGAAGGAGGAGGAGGTGGAGGCCGCTGAGGTGACGGCGGTGGCGGCAAGGTTGTGCGGCCGAGGCGGACACGGGGTGGGCCCTGCCGCGGCCCGCTTAGGCGGTGGGTGGTCGCTGCAGTGCCCAGACTCCCAGGGCGAGCTTGATGCTAGCCGAGAGGACCGGAAGGGAGGGCTGCAGAGTATCCGGAAACGTGGCGCTCCAGCGAATTGACCTCAGTCTTGAGGGGACGGGGGGCGGGCGATAGAGCCCGGGGACTCCGGCCTGGGCGCCCGAGCTGTTCCCGGCCCTGCCGGAAGTGGTTCTGCCGGAGAACTTGTGAGCGCAGCCACTGGGTAGATGCAGCCGGGAGGGAGAGGAGAGAAGACAGAGGAAGGGGAAGCGGGGGTCGCTGGTGGTGTTGCCGATGAGGGAACTGGGCGACCACAACGCCGTGCTCGTAGTTAACTTTCACAGGGCTCCCTGTTCCCCTTCGAGCTGGTAGCTTCAATCCCGTGCGATCGGCACTCGTTAGCCTCAGAAATTCAGGAACCTGCCCTGAGACAGATGCGATGTGTAGAGCCAGGCTTTGACCTCCTGCAGGCCGACTCTAGAATTTACCACCAAGGGCCCACCATTGTTTCTCCAACCATCGAAACTGGCAGAAATTGACGAGGACCAGGAGTAAAGGGGTAGTTTGGCTTGAACAGAAGTGATGGCTGGAGTCAGGGTTTGATCTGATACAAGGTATGAAATCCAGAGGTATGGAGCAAAGATCTATAAGACAGGTGGAACTGTGGCCTTCATCTTTATCTCCAAGCATGGTTTGAGATTAATCTGAGGAATTTGATGGGGACAGGGAAAGAGAGGTACATGCACACCTAAGCTTGAAAGTTGACTGGCTTGTGCAATTTAAAGCTTACTGATGTAGTGATTATGACAGTTGAAAACCCAGAGTTGAAGTGACTAGTGTAAAGACTAGAAGCAGTTCAGTGAAGTTTAGGGAGTTATTTTTTTCCTTTTCCTGCTGTGCTTGCTGTCATGAATATTAAAGTTTACAAGTTGTGGTGAGTCATTTGACATCGACTGGTTTCTTTTCAGCCATACAAATCGAGTATTTGTGACATCAAATAGTCCATCCATTCCCCCATTAATATGTGCCCCAAATTCAACATAGTACCAAACTCAGGAGTTTCTTCCAACAGATTTGACACTGGCATTTTTAAGAATTTAAATGTGAATTGACACAGGATCAAATTAAGCCAAAGGGTAAGGTAGTTTATAGAAATGTTCAAAAAGAGAAGTATCTACATGTGTTTAAAATATCAGGAAATTTTTCATCAGTAGTATATGTTCCACAAATACAGTAATTCTTGTGGATATATATGAGGGTAATTTGAAATAATTGAAATACTTGAAACTGTACACAATATCCACGTCTTAGATTTTTTTCATCCCTCAAATGAAGATTATGGACAATCACAAAAACTGTCAAGTGTTTAGCACAATGTCTGTGCCAACATAAATGCAGTCAAGCATGGCATAATGAGAGGAGCATGTTGTAAGAAATGCTCCCTTAGGCAGTCTCATCATTGTGCCAACGTTGTTGAGTACTTCCAGAAACCTCGATGATAATATGGTAAATGTACCACACACAGTGTGTGGGATAGCCTAGGCTGAAAGTCTGAACTATAAACATGTATAGTGTGTTATTTAATACTGTGGGCAACTGTACTAAAATGGCATTTGTGTTCCTAGACACACCTAAACATAGTGGCAGAAGAAATATTAGGGAATAAGAACTATCAGCTACATTATTATCTTATTTGAATACTGTTATTGTGGTCTGTCCTTGACTGAACCACCCTTACCAGGTGCATAATTAGCCAATAATTTGACTCTTCTGGGTCAAATAAATGTAGAGCTTCTTTCCACTTCCATTCCTTGAAATGGAAAGACCATGTAGTAACTTTCCGTATTCTATATGTTGATGAAAGGTTAAAAAAAAATTACACATTTTCTGAAGGAGACCCCTGCTGTCTGAAAGTATTTGGAAGTCTTAGATGGTTGAATAGCCCACAAACAGTAATTTTATGATGATCCTTTAAAACTGTTGTGGTTACTGAAGATCACTTATTTTTCAGTTGCTTTGTCTCTCAAATGCTTGTCAATGTAGGGACTAAATAGTTGCTTTTACACTCCTTTGCAGATGCATGGTCATGGAGGCTATGACTCAGATTTTAGTGATGATGAACATGGTGGAGAATCTAGCAAAAAGAAAAGAAGGTAAATAACCTATAGTTGACAAAATTTCTAGATTGATATGAGACAGATAATACTGAATAGTTTTGGATTGTGTCTCCATGTGAAGAAAACTGCTTTAGTGAGTCATTTTTTTTTTTTTTTAGTTCATCAAAACTAATAACTTGATTGGAAACTGAAGACAGTTGTGGTGAAACAGGATAAAATGTGCTGTAAAGAAGTTTATTGAGCTAGAGAGGAAAAAGGAAAGAAAGACGTGATGTTTATGTCATAGTTCAGAAGGAGCTTGGTTGGGGCTGTCTTACTAGTATTTGACTTCAAAGTGAAGTTAGTGTGGAGGTTGCAATTGTAGCACAGGGTAGCCCTATGAAAGAAGCTCATGGAAAGTTTGATTGGAGGAGATAAGAACTGCCAGCCTATAAAGCCTAGGTGTCACAAAGAGGCTATGTCTTGACCAATTAACAGTGTATTGGGGCACTTTTGCAGCTTTAGTGCTTAGAGACTTGTTTTTTATCCATTAATTTAGGAATAGTTGGCTAAACTAACTCTGCAATGAGAATACTATATGAGGCATACTAATGACCTGAACATTCTCATAAAAAGATAATCCATCTTTATGGATATAATTATAATAAAATACATTTTATAATGTTTTATATTTTCTACTTTTTTAGTAAAAATACTTTATCAGAATAGAATTCAAGCAATGTAGTTAGATACTATGCTCTAGGATTATGTTTATCTAAATATCTAAGGCTGTTTATCCATGGGCTGTATCCTCTATAATGGTTCTTTCTTTTTCCATATTTTTTATGACTACAAACTATTTTTTATGACTACAAACTTAATACCCCTATTTTTCAGACAGAAAATAAGTTACTTTACCCTATTAAAGATTAAGGGGAACAATGGCTTAGTCAAGCTGTGTGTTGGTGGCTCATGCCTATAGTCATAACTCTGGAGGCTGAAATCTGAGGATCAAAGTTCAAAGCTAGCCTGGGTATACCTGGAAAATCTGGGAGACCCTTATCTCCAGTTAACCATCAAAAAGCCAGAAGTGGATCTGTGACTCAAGTGATAAAGTGCTAGCCTTAAGAAAAAGAGTTCAGGGACGGCATCCAGGACCTTGGTTCAATCCCCAGGAACTTAGAATTTGAACTAAAAAGCTGGGGAGTAAAAAAAAACAAAAAACCTGGGGAGTGTAACACTGGAACCAGTATATTATTTTGTTTCATCATCTCCATTTATATAGGCATTAAGTAGAGTTAAAGAAAATATAAACTGTCTTACTAAATTCTTTTTAAAGATAAGACTTGAATACTGTAAATTCTGCTCATTTTGCAAAAGCTAGCAAACAACTTTTGAGAAAAATTAACTAATGTTTTTTCTTAATACATTAGGACAGTTGAAGATGATTTACTGCTGGAAAAGCCATTTCAGAAAGAAAAACATGGAAAAGTGGTCCATAAACAAGTTGCAGCAGAATTGCTGGATAGGTATGTCATTTCAATGTGAATTGCATTCTTTCATTTAAGATGTTTTATGAACTCAAGGATAAAGCAATTTGATTATAATTAGAATATAGATATTTGAGTTTGTTTAAAATATATTTTTTTTTGACAGGGAAGAAGCAAGAAATAGAAGATTTCATCTCATAGCTATGGATGCTGTATCCTTTTTATATTTGTATATTTCTGTATTTAGTAGAATATTAAAATATACTTTGGTAATATATTTTAAATTTTTTATCATAATTTTAAGAAGATAAATATGCCTTTTTATTTTTTGAGATAATGCTTATTGAAAATAGAATTTTATCATCGATACTTTTGGATGTAATTCTCTTTTATTAAAATATAGGGAATATTTCAGACAAAATAATGAAACATATTCCTACTATAATCTGTAAATAGACTTACACAGTCCATGAATCTGCACATATTTTTTCAATTTGTTTTTGTCAAACTTTTGATACTTCCCTTCTCTACGTTCTCTTATCTTGAGTCTCTGTTTAAATTCTCTTCCTGTCTAATTCTTGCTTATCTAAAGTTCTCTGCAAAACTTGTATTTGAAATTCCATCTGTGTGTGAGCCATCTTCAGGCCTGCTGTGATTTTAATTCTCAGTGATGACTGCAGGCCAGATATGAATGATAACTTGTTTCCCCTCCCTGTTGTAATCAAGTCTCAGCTCAATTTCTCATTAAGACTGTGGCTCAAGACAGTAACTGCTACACTGCTAAGATATTAGAGAGAAATAAGAATACTGTTATATTCTTAATTTGTTGCTTCCTATTACCTTCTTAGACAGTAGTTTAACTTTTCCATGGATCTCCTTAGCTTCTTGTTCCTTTAGCATTTGCTCTGTCTTTTCTGACATATAGGCAGAGTCCGAATACCTAGTTGCAGCCTGGTGAGGGTGAAAGTCTAGATATTCCATTTCAGGCACGGGTTGAGGAGAGATCACAGTTTTTACTATAGTGTTTACCTAGTGTACAATAATTACTGTCTATTAAGTTACTGGTCTCACTAGGCCAACTCTTGATCACTTGGTTAGAGAAAACAGGCTTTTACTAAGGCTGTTCAAAGCTATGCTTCTGGCATTTCTACATTGTCAGCTTCATCTCCAAGTCTGTGATATGTGAGACAAAAAGAAAACCTGGGGGTATACATGACCTGAAGAATTCGGTGAATGGCCTCCCCACCATTCAGTTTTCTTTGAAAATTTTCCTTCCTTCCTTTCACTTTGTTTTCACTCTTATTTTTTTGGTAACACTTGGGTTTGAATTCAGAGTCTTGAACATGTTAGGTTTGTTATTCAGCTGGTGCTCTCTTACTTGAGCCATATCTTTAGTCTTGCTTTTTTGCAAGATGGAGTCTCATGAACTTTCCTAAAGCTGGTCTATGGCTGGTCTGGAACCAGTTTTCCAGATCTCAGCCTCCTGGGTAGTTAGGATTAGGTGTGAGTTTCTGGCACTTATTTGTTTTGTTTTATATATAATGTCCAACACTGTTGTTTATTGCTAGTTAAGGAATAAGGAGAAATATATCTTCACCTACTCCATCTTCCTGGAAGTAAGTGTTCCATGGACCACCTGTTTTCAGACATAAAAAAATTGTGTTGGAGGGGCTGGGAAGGTGGCTCAGTGGTAGAGCGCTTGCCTTGCATGTATGAGGCCCTGGGTTCGATTCCTCAGTACCACATAAGCAAAAAGAAAAAAGCCAGAAGTGGCGCTGTGGCTCAAGTGGTAGAGCGCTAGGCTTGAGCTGAAGAGCTGAGGGACAGCGCCCAGGCCCAAAGTTTAGGCCCCACGACCAGACCCCCCCGCCAAAAAAAAAAATGGTGTTGGAGCCGGGCGCCGGTGGCTCATGCCTGTAATTCTAGCTACTCAGGAGACAGATCTGAGAATCATGGTTCAAAGCCAGTTCAGGCAGGAAACTCCATGAGACTCTTATTTCCAATAAACCACTAGAAAACTGGAAGTGGTGCTGTGGCTTAAGCGGTAGAGTGCTTGCTTTGAGCTGAAGAATACAGGGACAGCACCTAGGCCCAGAGTTCAAGCCAAAAAAAAAAATGTGTTGGAACACATTTATATGTTGTCTGTGGTTACCTTTTGCTACACTGGCCTAACCAAGACCAAATGACCCGTGAAGCCTACGATATTTGTCATCTAGCCCTTTTTTCCGTCAGTTGTGGGGCTTGAATTCAGGGCCTGGGCATTGCCCCTGAGCTTCTTTGCTCTATCACTTGATCCAATAGCACCACTTCCAGTTTTTTGAGTGGTTAATTGGAGATGAGAGTTTCATGAGGACTTTTCTCCCCATACTAGCTTTGAGCTGTGATCCTCAGATCTCAGTTTTCTGAGTAGCTAGGATTAAAGGTGTGAGCCACCCTCACCCCACTTGCCATCTAGCCTTTTACAAAACAAGTTTACTGACCACAGCTTTTATAGAAAGTGGTCATTCAAGACCTTAAACCCAGATTTCAGAATATCTGTTATTTCTCACTCCCTACTGCTTTGCTACCAGTTTTAGAAGTGTAGTGAAGTATTCTATTAGACCACATTGTGATCAGTAAAAATCATTAATGTATCTTTCCTTTTGTCTCTCTTGTTTCTCTCTCCTCTTCTTCCTCCCTCCCTCCCTCGTTCTCCCAACCCCTCTTTCTCCCTTCCTCCCTTCTTCCCTCCCTCCCTCGCTCTCCCAACCCCCCTTCCTTCCTTCCTTCCTTCCTTCCTTCCTTCCTTCCTTCTTTCTTTCCTTCCCTCCTTCCCTCTTTCCCTCCTTCCCTCCTTCTCTCTTTCTGTCTGTCTGTCTGTCTCTCTATCGCTCTCTTTTGCTTGAACTCAGGGCCTGGGCACTGTCCTGAGGATTTTTTTTTTGTTCAAGGTTAGAGCTCTACCACTTGAGCCACACCTCCACTTCTGGCTTTTTTGTAGTATAATATCCTGGATCCAAAGGAAACTCTAAGACACCCAGTTAAAGGAGCTAGGAACTTTATTACATCCGCATGGGGTCTGCTTCCTGCTACCGGGAAAGTAGGACAACGGCCTTGAGCTCAGGGTAGGATGGGTTTTTATAGGAGTAGGTTATATAGAGTTACACAGAGGAACCATGCAAGGCAGGTTTGGCACATTTTCATTGGTTATGGTTATATGACCTTTAAATTCATTTGTTCTTTATGGTAAATATATGTAATAATCTGCAGTAGGCTGCCCATAGTGGGACCATTCGGTGGTGGTCTTCACTTGGAGGACAGTGGTGATGTCACCTGTGGGCTTAAGGCCTTGCTACTGAGGCAACCAAGCAAGGTTACAGAAACAAAACAGCAAAAACATAACCTTGAGTCACTGGAGCATAAGTAAAACATAATCTTGACTTGCTCAGCATGACCGATACTATCAGTGGTACTGACACTATTGCTACTTCATTACAAAAATTCCTTGGATTACAGAAGTCAAAATACAACCTTGGGTGGGGGTGGTCTATATTACAAGAATGATTTTTATTATGAGCTCCCGACTAATGCAGCAACTCAGTGCAGCTGGTGATAAGCCTCAAAGTTGTCAGTAGCCTTCTGCAAAGTTGGCAGCTTGGTAAACTTGAGTGAGGCAGAGATGTTCTTTTGCTTTTTAGCAAGGATGGAAAAGAGGCTAAGGCTGATCAGTACTCAGCCTTTGCTTGGGTTTTTCTTTACCAAGAGGTTTTGCCCTTTATCAATAATTTTGTTCTGTTTTCTGATTTCACATTTTCTCATGAATATCCTTCTTTTCCAAGGAAAAGTAGGTTCAGGGGGGAGAATAAATTTCTAACAGCAGGAGAAACTGAAGTCAGACAATAGAAGGAACTTTCTGCCAGTAAATAGCAACTCAAATATTACACTATCATGTATCTTTTTTTTGGGGGGGGGGGGTGTCCAGTCGTGGGGCCTGAACTCTGGGCCTGCGCATTGTCCCTCAGCTCTTCAGCTCAAGGCTAGCACTCTACCACTTGAGCCACAGCACCACTTCTGGCTTTTTTTTCCTGCTTATGTGGTTCTGAGGAATCGAACCCAGGGCCTCAAGCATGAAGGCAAGCGCTCTACCACTGAGCCACTTTCCTAGCCCCTATCATTATGTATCTTTAATGCCACAGGATGTTGTTACAGATAGCATCACAGAAGGGGAGATCAGCTTTGCTTTATGCATGTTCAACTCCAACTCTTTCAAACCAGTAAAATGCTCATGCATCTTGTTATACTGTGTTGAAAATAAACATAGTTGTATAGAACATTGGATTTCCTAGATTGCTCTATTTTTTTTGAAAGTAACGTTAGGATTTTATAAAAGTTACATTTTCTATTAGAGACTTTAATATTACAGAAACAGCTAACAATGATGCTAAAATTTGCCTTTTAATTTTAGAAGCCATGATTTCTTTACTTTTCACATTCTGAATTGTAGACTATCTGGTGGTAAAAGAGTATGTGCCTTGTATGATTAGAATAGAAAGCTTTCGCTCTCCCCTGGTGGTGATGTGCTTTATCACAGGAATAATATTCCAAACATTATATTTCAAGTAACATATATTTGGGAAAGTATTCAGTAGGAAGTAAAAGTTCTTCTACTGTACTGTACTAGATTTTATAAAAGCATGTTTAATATATAAGTACATATAATATATTGATATATTTTAAAAAGTAAACAGACATACTATGCTTTTTATGTAACATGATGACACAGAATAAGTCAACAAAATCCTTAATTTTTTCATTTCAGTATCAAAGGCATACAAAGTTTGTAAATGACTATATTCTATATTACGGTGGCAAAAGGGAAGATTTCAGGCGTTTGGGGTAAGTGTCACGAAGTGTCATGGAGAAGGGGACGTGGATGACTTGATAGACATGCAGCCTCCTGTCTTCTGTCACTCTTGCACAGCTTTCTGTCCCAGCCTCCTTGCCATTTCTTAAGTGAACAGGCCATATATAGTTTCTAAGTTGCTCTTTGTGAATCCCATTTCCTTGGCAACAGGCCTCAGGTAGCTGTCTCACTTGCTGAGCTGGGTGTGATCCTGGCAATAACTGCATGTGTGAGGAATATTCATGTGTCTTGTTGGCAGAGATCTTTGAGACAATAAGATGTTTAGACCTCAGTGTTAAGGCTAGTGTTTTTCAAGGTAAGGCAAACAAGAAATCTCACTCAAAATTTCTCATATATGAAAGTTCTTTCTCAATTCGAGGCCCTTTAATTAGAGCCAGTTGGTCTTGCATGGATTTTTTTCCCACTTTGTTTTAATTTTCTGACTCAATAGGGCCTTAAAAAATTTAGTTCTATCTCAATCTTCTCTATTCCAAATTCTGTTCCTCTATTACTTTAGCTAGCATCCCTCAACAATCATTTATTCTACCTCCTGACTGATTAACAATTTATCTTTTTTTTAAATAACATTTTATCTTGAAAGGTCTTCTTAACTCTCCTCCTTTACTCAGTCTTCCTAGAAAACTAGTAATGAGGTAACTTTCCATATTTTTTTAAAAATTAGGTATCCAGAGAGTAGTCTTACTAACTTCTCACTAAATTCTGAAAGTTACTTTTATTCATATTTTTTTAATTTAGTGATTATTCAGTTCTCATCCTAGCTTTTGTAGCACTTGTTGAATATGGATGGATTCTTATGCATTTATCTTGCTTATGTAGCAACACTCTTTTTAAGTATCTTGTAAAAATATTGAAATATTATATATGTATTATATCAATATATGCTTATATATATTTTTATGTACTTTTATTTACCTTCAAAATTCATTGTTTTGCTTCCTAAATTTAGTTAATTTTATTTTTTAATTAAATGGAAATCATTTTATTTTCCAGGGAGAATGACAAGACAGACTTGGATGTTATTCGAGACAATCATAGATTCCTATGGAATGAGGAGGATGAAATGGACATGACTTGGTAGTTTTTGCCATCACAACCATAATGTACCAGATTCTTAGTCCTGTCTTTCTTATTCCATGTTTACTTACTTGTTATTTATCCAAAGCATTCAGCCTTCTTGTAGGACCGTTCTGAATTAAGGACCATATTGTATGTCTTCTTATAATATAGGCTTCATATAAAGTTTTTTAAGTAATTTGGTAAAAAGTAATCCCTGAGACTGGTATTAAAAAGCTAAATATTAGGGCTGGGAAGGTGGCTCAGTGGTAGAGCGCTTGCCTTGCATGCCTGAGGCCCCGGGTTTGATTCCTCAGCACCACATAAGCAAAAAGAAAAAAGCCAGAAGTGGCGCTGTGGCTCAAGTGGTAGAGTGCTAGCCTTGAGCTGAAGAGCTGAGGGACAGCGCCCAAGCCCAGAGTTCAAGACCCACGACCAGACCCCCCCCCCCCCCCCAAAAAAAAAAAAAAAGCTAAATATTAAGCCAGGTGCTGGTAACTCATGCCTAAATCCTAGTTACTCAGGAGGTTGATCTAGGTTTGTGGTTCCAAAGCCAGCCCAATCAGGAAAGTCTGTGACACTCTTACTTCAGTAAACTATTCAGAAAAAGATCTCTGGGAAGAGCAAATGGTGCTATGGCTCAAGTAGTAGAGCTCTAGTCTTGAGAAAAAGTCCGAGGGACAGTTCCTAGGCCCCGAGGACTGGAACACACACATACAATCTAAACATTAGCTGAGCTCCAAGGGATCATGCCTGTAGTCGTAGCTATTCAGGAGGCTGAGATCTGAGACTTGTGGTTCAAAGACAGCACAAACAGGAATGTTCATAAGACCTTTATCTCCATTTAACCAGCAAAAAGCTCGAGGTGGAGCTGTGGCTCAAGTGGTAGAATGCTAGCCTTGAGCAAAAATGATCAGGAACAGTGCCTATGCCCTGAGTTCAAGCCCTAGTAGCAGCGCACGCGCGCGCGCGCACACACACACACACACACACACTCACACTCTCTCTCTCTGATGGAAAAGTAATTCTTCCTCTCATTTCTATCAATTTCCTATCTGTGTACATGAAATAGGCCTTTTTTTAAAACATTAATATTTATATCATATGTATTAACTTCTTTGACATTGCTTCCAAGTGAAAAACTATAGTTAGATTTCTAAATGTGCAATATATTTTTTTCTGGATCTAGGGAGAAGAGACTTGCAAAGAAATACTATGATAAATTATTCAAAGAATACTGCATAGCAGATCTCAGTAGATACAAAGAAAATAAGGTATGCCCTCTAAATATTAGAGAAGGTATTCTTACTAAAGTACAGTGTTAGTTTTTATTCTATTATGACCCTTCCGCTATCATGTTAAAGACACTAATTCTAGTCTAAGTTGTCTTGAACCTATGAAGTATCATTTTGATCAGTTGACCTCTTCAGCCAAAGGACTTACTAAGGAATTTATAAGGGACAAGGTTGCTTTTTCTTTGTGAGCTGAAGCACGACTAGTCTAAAATTAAGCACAAGTGGCATCCTCTTTCATCCTGACTATGGTCTAGAGCCACAGTGATTATAATGAATGATTTAGCATTGCAGAATGATGTATCATTTCACAGAGGATGTTTGAAATTGATAGATTTTTTTCATTGATTATTTATAGAAAGGCAGGTGCACATCTATGACATAAATAATGTCTATTTTAGTAAAATTAACTTTTCAGTGAGTGCTAATGACAGATTTCCATTCCCACATCTTGCTTTGGTTAATAGTGAGGTTATTTTTATTCCTAGCTCATCTTCAAATTAGTAACTGGAAAAGTTAATAGAAACCAAAAATAGATTATCTCAGTTGGAAATGTGAGAGGAGGGAATCTTGTATGACTATGTATGTCACAGACAGTGTATATTTGTATATATGTTATTATTTATATGTAGACAAACTACTTTAAAAAACTACCTTAAGTGTATATACCCAAATGGTTTGATCTCATCACAGCTAGGATTGGTGTAGTAATTTTTTCAGTAGTGCCTTCAAGATATATGTTGTTTTCTAACTCTGAATAGACAATAGTAGTATTTATTTTGTACACCCTTGTTTACAAAGCCATGTACTGGATGTTTCCTAAAGATTTCATGGTCTTTGGGAATTAGTTGTGGACTCTAGCTCATACCTCTTATCTGTGTGCCTGTTAATTATCATATATAATCTAGAAAGTGCCACAACAGTTGAAGTTATTTGAGATTACTACATTGCAAATCAAATGTGAATTACTAAGTCTTTCTAGGGACATGTAACATTATCACATAATTCTATTACAAGTAGAATAATCCTGGCTCGTTTATGGATTGTTTTTCAATATTTATTTAAACTGAACTAGACACTGGATTAGTACATGGTGACGGCTTTTCAGAAAAAGCTGTGGTCTAGGCTGGGCACATCATACATGTCTAAAATACCTTCAGTTGGGAGGTAGAGGTATGAGGATTTACAGTTTGAGGCTATCCTGAACTACAAAGTTTGAGGCCAGCTTGGGCTATATAAGTAGTTGAATAGCTTTAAGTATTCATTGAATAGGTTCTTGAAAGATTCTTTCTTCTCCCTTCTCCCCTCCTCTTCTTCCTTCCCCTCTCCCTTTTCCTGTCCTACCTTGTCCTGCCCTCCTCCTTGCCTCTCCTTCCCCTCCCCGCTACCCTCTCCTCCCCTTCCCTTCCTTTCCCTGACCTTATAATCAAAATCCTGCCTCACCCTCCCAAGTAGTGGGATTACTTTTACCCTTTGCATTTAAGATACAAAATTGCCAGATTCAAATAATAGATGATTTAAAAAACTAAATCCAAAGTTAACCAGGCATTGAATACTCTGTAAAGTCTCTCAATATTATGACCCTGTTAGGTTAAGATTGTTATTACTGCCCTATCTTTATACGTAAAAAGGAAATAAAATAATTTTAATTCATTTTTTCCAAGGTTACAGAGCTAGATGATGATGGTAGAATTTTATGAACTATCATTCATTAGAGTCCTGTGTAAGTCTGTATGATTCTAGTCTGAATCTTTGTCCCTTTTTAAAAAAATCTTAGATTTTTTTTAAGTTCCTAGCAAAATTGAGTGGCAGTACAATGATTTCCCTTATGCTTCCCCCTCCTCATACATGTACAGCATTCCCTACTAACATCCCCTACTGAGTAATGCATGCATCTACCATCAAAGTGTATAAAGAATACCCTTAAAATCCTTTATGTTCTGCTTTATCTCACTCTCCATAACTCCTAGCCATTCCCTTGTGTATATATGCCACATTTTCTTTATTCAGTCATCTGTTGACAGGCACCTAGATTGAGTTCAAATTTTGGCTATTGTGAAGAGTGCTGTTATAAATATGGGTATGCAGCTATCTCTCTTGAATGCCGACTTGCATTCCTCTAGATATATGCCCATAAGTGATATGTCAGGATCACATTGTTTTTTTTATTTTTAGTTTGTTGAGGAGCCTCCATACTTATTTCCATAGTAACTGCTGTGCTAATTTACATTCCTACCAACTATGTATAAAGGTCCTCATCCCCTGCCTCCCCCCATCCTTTCCAGAATTTGTTTTCATTTGTTTTTTTTGATAGACATTTTGACTGGCTAAGATAGAATCTTAGTATCATTTTGATTTGTATTTCCTTCATGGATAAGGATGTTGAACATTTAGCTTCATGTTTAAATTTATAGTTTAAATTTAATGCTTAAATTTACTTTTACATAATTTTATCTTATCAGTTTGGATTTAGGTGGCGAGTAGAAAAAGAAGTAATTTCAGGAAAAGGTAATTTTTTTTAAAGTTTACTTTTTAGTAGGATATAGCTGATTTTCCTATGATGTTGAAATGAAGTCATTGAGTTAGGTTATTCTTAGCACATAAACGAGGAAATGTATTTGTGTTACATTAACAGAGATCAGACTATAATGTGTTGGTAGAATATGAGACTCCATCTCCAAAATAACCAATAAAATATGCTGGGCTGGAGGTATGGCTCCAGTGATAGAATACCAGCCTAGAAAGCAAGCCCAGTAAGTACAATGCCTTGAGGTTAAACTTTGGTACCTGTAAAGAGAGAGGGGAAGGAGGGAGAGAGGGAGGGAGGGAGAGGAAGAGAGAGGATATCTTAGTAATTTTTTTTTTTTTTTTTTGGATCCGGTTGTGGGGCCTGAACTCTGGGACTGGGTGCTGTCCCTCAGCTCTTTAGCTCAAGGCTAGCGCTCTACCACTTGAGCCACAGCGCCACTTCCGGCTTTTTTCTTTTTGCTTATGTGGTGCTGAGGAATCGAACCCAGGGCCTCAGGCATGTAAGGCAAGCGCTCTACCACTGAGCCACCTTCCCAGCCCCTGTCTTAGTAATTTTTATTTTAGAATTTTGCCACTAGAACAATTAAGAATAAGTTTAAGGCCAGGACATTGGCTCTTGCCTGTAATCCTAGCTACTCAAGAGGCTGAGACCTGGATGATTGTGGTTTGAAGCTAGCCTAGACAGAAAAGTATGAGATTCCATATCTAATTAACCAGCAAAATGTTAGGTTGGAGGCATGGCTTAAGTGGTAAGAGTGCCAGCTCTGTGCAATAAAGCTGAATAAGAGTCTGAGGCTCTGAGTTCAAGCCCTGATACAAATACAAAGAAAAGAATCTTAAAAAAGAAAAGGTACAGAATGTTTAAAGAGTTAACAGTAAGAAGCAAATGAATGCTTTTTCCTTTTAATCTGTTTTTGGAATTATAATTGGATTACTGTGTTTAGTCAAATCCACATTTTAAAAATAGAAATTAAATTACACTTGAACCCATTAGAATTTTCATAAGGCTAGTTCTCATTTTGGAGCATTCCTGAAATTGAGCCCAAATATTTAATCTGATAGCTGATTAAACTAGAACATTTGGCTAGCAATCAATAAGTGATTTTTCTATTCATTGTTGTAATCAGTTCATATGTTAATGTAATCTATTAATATTTCAAAATTGTATACCTCTATACTAAATTAGCTTTTTATACAGTAATGGCATTTTTGCTATTAATATTTTTAAAAACTATATGGTAATACTTGGGAAACAATTTAAGACTGAAAATACTTTAAAAGAAAATAGAAGCATGGTGAGAATGCTGTCATAATATTCATTGCACGTCCTTTAAAACTAGGAAAGTTGAGGGGAGGGATTGGCCTGGGAGAGATGGGGAGAATGATGAAGAGGGTAACATTGATTAAAATGCATTGCACTTATAAACTGACTTGTTGAATGCTAACTCCTTTGTACAGCTACTTAAAGATAATAAAAATATAATTAAAAGTGAAACAAAAAAGAGTTTACATTTTTAAATGGGCATATATGTTACCTGACATCTATGAATTAGATATATTTTAATCAGCTCTGAAAAAAGATACACTGTCAAAGAAAAGCAGTAAGATTTTTTTCTATAAATAATGAAGAATTAGTTCTAAAAGTGTGTTAGAGGAAAAGGAATAAATTTAAAGCTATTTTTAGCTTTTCTTGAGGTTACATTTTCATGTGTTTGTACCTAAAATAATGAGGGATCTTGAAATGTCTTTCGTTATCTTACACTTTTGTACTTTGAGATTTTTAGGAAAGTTTATATTACTTTTTAAAAAAATGGTGAATTCATTAAACTCACATGACTGAATATAAGAAAGGAGACAGCAGCTGGGCACCAGTGGCTCATGCCTGTAATCCTAGTCCCTCAGGAGACTGAATATCTGAGAATCATGGTTCAAAGCCAGCCCAGGCAAGAAAGTCCGTGAGAACTCTTATCTCCAGAAACCACCAGAAAACCAGAAGTGGCGCTGTGGTTCAAATGGTAGAGCGCTTTCCTTGAGCTGAAGAGCTAAGGGACAGCTCCCAGGCCCAGAGTTCAAATCCCACAACTGACAAAAAAAAAGAGGAGAGGGCAAGCAAGATGCAGCTGTGATTTAAGTTATGTTTTTTGCTGTTTAACAGCCATTGCTAAACATGTAGATTTGTAATACACTCATTTTAAATCACATTAGAAAATAATTAGAAATTGTCTTCGGTTATGGTAATGTGAATTCAGTTTGGTAATTTCTTTTATGAAAGATTTGGTAGTTTCAGATTTTTCCTGCTGGTATAAGTAAAAATTTGATTTTTGTGATTTTCTACCAAAGTAAATATTATTGAACAGTTTCTTTTTCCTTATAGATCATAAATCTTTTTTTTGTTGAACATGGTGATGTGTATTAATAGCAACAAGGGATTCTAAAATTTAGAATATTGGGTTTGGGCTGGGAAGGTGGTTCAGTGGTAGAGTGCTTGCTTCTCACACATGAGGCCCTGGGTTCAATTCCTCAGTACCACATAAGCAGAAAAAGCTAGAAGTGGTGCTGTGGCTCAAGTGGTAGAGCACTAGCCTTGAGCTGAAGGGCTGAAGGACAGTGCCCAGGCCCAGAGTTCAGGTTCCATGACCGATAAAAAAAAAAAAGAATATTGGGTTTGATTATATGTCATACTTCATATATTTGAAATGTGGTTTTGATTCTCATTTTTACTATAGTTCTAAATAAATGCTATTATGTTTGTACTTAAAATGTTAATTTTAATATTACAATTATACTCTTCATAGAAGAGTATAAGTCTCTTCTTTGAGGATTTTAGAATGTACACTCATTTTCCAGACTGTAAGATTCCCTAATAGTCTTTACAACTCTAAATATGAATGGCTTATCAAGTAGTAATTTTATTATTATTTTGCTACAGTTTAGCTGTTTGGTCTGATTCTTGTAAACACATTTGTTGAACATTAAACAATTACTGTGGTCAGTTATTTTCTAAGGTTGACTTTATGCAGCTAAGATTTTTTTTTGCCGGTCGTGGACCTGAACTCTGGACCTAGGCACTGTCTCTCAGCTATTCAGCTCAAGGCGAATGCTCTACCACTTGAGCCACAGCACCACTTCCGGCTTTTTCTGTTTATGTGGTGCTGAGGAATCGAACCCAGGGCCTCATGCATGCAAGGCAAGCACTCTACCACTGAGCCACCTTCCCAGCCCTGTAGCTAAGATTTTGTATATTTAGAAGTAAACTAGAGTTACTAACAAGTCATTTAAATAAATTTTACTAGCTATGGTAGCTAAGTATTCTTTCCTTTTTGCAGGTCAGTTTTTTTGTGGAAATAAACATTGTGATATAAAAGAAGGCTTGAAGAGTTGGGAAGTTAATTTTGGTTACATTGAGCATGGCGAAAAGAGAAATGCACTTGTTAAATTAAGTAAGTTGACTCTAGCAGAGGTGAGATTGATGTATTTCAAGCTTAATTTACAATTTAAAATATGTACTTAAAATATAACTGAAAAAAATAACATCTGAAAGTACTCATTTTTTCCTTCGAGCTTACCAGATTCTCAAGTTTTGAGCCCCAAATTTTAATGTTCTTAGCATTATGGTGACATTTCAATAAAACGATTCTAATTTCAAATGTGTATTAGACTTACACATCTAAGAGGCAGAGAATCAGTTAAGGCAATAAAAAACTTACAATATCTGATCACATAGTCATAACATTGCAGTATGGATAGTGAGTCCATTGTTTTCGACATTTAATAAAGAACCATTTGAGGGTGACATAATTGTTCTTTTCAAGTTAGTCTTGCATCCACTGCTTCTCTCCCACATGTTAATGGCATTGCTTCAGCTTTGTTGGTCCTAAGTAAATATGCCTTCAGAGCTCCTACCCATACCTCATATTATTATTATCAAGTATTATTTGACTGTATTATTATTTCTTTTAGATAGCCTTGGTAGGAGACATTAATGCTGCTAATGCAACATAATTGACCTGTTTTTTAAATAAAGTAATGTTAAAATATGTTCAATTTTATTTCAATTTATTATTTCAATTATTTTAACAATCTATTTTATATTCATATATGAATTCTTTTGAGTTGGTGAAGGTCATATTGTCTTCAAATTATTCCCCTCTATAGTATATGAAATATAAACTAAAAAGTGGGAATGGTAATAGTTATTGCTCAATTTCAGCAATTCCTTTTTTGTTTATCCTTTGTTTTTCTGATTTTTTAGGATTATGCCAAGAGTGTTCTTTTAAGTTAAATTTTCATCACAGGTAATATCTTTCAAGTGTTATTTTTAGTATATGTAGGAAAATGTCATTGTGAAACCCATTATTTTATAAAATTACTATTTGGTAATGAAAACAATGTTAGTGTTAATAATCCTGGCCACAGTAATTTATCTGTACTGAGTGTCCAGCTGTAGACATGGGAGTTGATAGATTGGTTGGTAGCATAGAAAATCAGGCATTATTATGTGACCACAAAACACAAGGAATTGGAAGTCTACTGTGTTCTAGCCAAGCAGTTGAGATGGGGTGGGGAAGGGAGTAAATGAAATGCATGTAAAGTACTTGCCACAGTACAGTCCTGGACATTGAGGATATTTGGACAAAATCTGTGAAACTTGCCCATGTAGAAATCAGGTTCCACATTCTGAATAACAAGTTGGCAAAAATGTATCCATCAACATAGTAATTTTTTGCCAGTCCTAGGGCTTGAGTTCAGGGTCTGGACACTCCCTGAGCATTTTTGCTCAGGGCTAGCATTCTACCACTTGAGCCACAGCTCCACTTGCAGCTTTTTGGTAGTTAATTGGAGATAAAGAATCTCATGAACTTACCTGCCTGGGCTGCCTTCAAACCAAGGTTCCTCATATCAGCCTCTCAAGTAGTTAAGATTATAGGCATGAACCACCAGTGCTTGGCAGACAGGCATATTATTTATTTATTTGGTTTTTTGGTCGGTCATGGGGCTTGAACTCTGGGCCTGAGATCTCTATCCCTAAGCTCTTCAGCTCAAGGCTTGTGCTCTACCACTTGAGCCACAGTGCCACTTCTGGTTTTCTGTTGGTTAATTGGAGATAAGAGTCTCACAGATTTTCCTGCCTGGGCTAGCTTTGAATAGCGATCCTCAGATCTCAGCCTCCTGAGTAGCTAGGCTTACAGGCATGAGCCACTGGCACCCAGCTAGGCATATTAATTTTGAAATCAGCTTTTTCATGAGTATGCTTGTCTTGTACTGTTGAAAGTAAATACTAAATAATAAATGATTCGCTCTTAAAAATAACAGGACTTCAGGGTCTGGGAAGGTGGCTCAGTGGTAGAGCGCTTGCCTTGCATGCATGAGGCCCTGTGTTCGATTCCTCAGCACCACATGAGCAAAAAGAAAAAAGCTGGAAGTGGCGCTGTGGCTCTAGTGGTAGAGTGCTAGCCTTGAGCTGAAGAGCTGAGGGACAGCGCCCAGGCCCAGAGTTCAGGCCCCATGACCGGACCCAAAAAAAAACAAAACAAAACAAAGCAAAAAAACAGGACTTCAGATTTCTCAGATAGCCTAAACCTTTATTTCCCTTTGCCAACAATGACAACAAAAGGAACTAGAGATATCTACATCCTTGACTTTTGAGCTTTATTTCCAAACTGAAGTGATTCTGATGGAAGAGCACACATAGTCACTGTTATAACTAGTATTTGGAAGTTCTGTTAAACTTTTCAATCTCTTTTCTTTCCTTTTTTCTATCTTTTTTTTTGGTCTTAGATTCAGTATTATCTCTTTTCCCTATGTAGTTTTTCTTAAGCAATTAAGCCAAATTGCTTGCCGTATAGTACTGACCAGTTTATAAACCTAGCCTGGAACAGATGAACAGCAATAAGAGTATAAACTATAAATTGTCTAAAGTTGACATATGAGTTCAGAATAACCCCCTTCCATCTACCTTCTATTATAACTTCATTATATTAATTTTTTTGTCTGCTGGTTCTAGAGTTTGAACTCAGGACATTGGTGCTGTCCCTGTGTATATTTGCTCAAGGCTAGTGCTCTAGCACTAAGCCTCAGCTCCACTTCTGGCTTTTTTGGTGGTTAATTGGAGATATGAGTCTCACAGACTTTCTTACCTGAGTTAGTTTTGAAGTTTGATCCTCAGAACTTGGCCTCCTGTGTAGCTAGGATTACAGGCATGAGCCACTTGCACCTTGGCATTATTCTTTTATCCTTATGAAAAAAAAAATTTACAACAGTTTTCTTCTTGCTTGTGATTTTTCAGTGTGTTTTTAGATATATATTATGTAAAGGGAAATGAGATTTGTTTTTGTAATTTCCTTAAGTGAATAAATAATAAAGTATGAAAGGAAATAATTTGTCAATGTTTAGCCTTCCAGAATTGTCTTAATATAGCCCCTTAAAATATTTACATGCTCATTTAAGATTCTTTGTATAAATTACATTTTAAAATAAGTACTTTAATGTGGGGTTTTTTTTTGTCCACTGGTGTTTATTTTTGTAAGACCATTTGAAAAGTTAACTTTGATTTTACATTATTAACTTAAAGGAGAAAAGAAATCAAGTCAAAAAAAAGAAAGGCTAAAAAAGACTGTGAAGAATATGTACATAAAAAATCCAGATTATCTCCTACAGAAGATACCTCCAAGAAAAAGGACAAAGGTAAAGGGAAATTAACGTATAGTAGCTATTTACATTTCTGAATATGAAGTGCTTTATAATGTTGAATGAAAGTGTGTTGAGAATTTAAGTGTGAATTTATAGTGACTTGTAGGAGTTTTAAGAACAGGATTGGTTTTGATTGATTTTTGGCAGGTGTAATATTACATTATTAGTTTTGTTAATTACATTATTAGTTTTGTTAATGCTATACTACAATGTTGTATAATATTATAAATTGAGTCCTGGCTTTATCCAAGACTTGTAACCTTAAGTAAGATACATTAAATTATTTTTTAATTATTATTTTACTTTTTAATTAGCATACATATATAGTGTGAAGGGGTTCACTGTGATGTTTCCATACATGCACACAGGGAATTTTTCATTAACCACCTCCTCTCCTCTCTCTTCCCCTCCTTTTCAAACAGCATTTGATAGTGCCATTGTGCTGTGTGGGTGTGGGTGTGGGTGTGGCATACTTTATCAATTTTTGGACACTTTACTTGACTCCACAGTTTGGCTATTGACACCAGAGCTACAGAAACAGGGGTACACAGGTATCTTTCTTATATGTTGATTTACTCTCCTTGGTGACATATGCCCAAGTATAGTGTGGTAGAATAAGATAGATCTATTTTTAGTTTTTTCAATTATTAATAACATTCTTCCAACAGTATATGAGGTTTTTGTGCATCATCAGTATTTGTTGTTTATATCCTTGATGATTTTATATCCTGTTAAGTTGTTGAAACTGCTTATCAGATCTAAGAATTTTTTGTTGGCATCTTTAGAGTCTTTTAAGTATAGAATCATTTCATTTGCAGACATGGATAATTTGACTTCTTCCTTTTTTCTTTGTATTCCTTTTATTTCTCTTGCTTTATTGTTTAAGCTGAATTCTAGAAGACTCAATTTCTTGAGTTTATTTTTCTTGTGTTTGTTGGGGTAATGTTAATACCTCCCTGCTAGTCAGATTATAGAGAATCAGAATGTGAAAGCACTTTAAACACTAAGAGTTTTATAGTTTATAATGAACGGTATAAGATTTACAGTACTGCGGCTGGGAAGGTGGCTCAGTGGTAGAGTGCTTGCCTTGCATGCATGAGGCCATGGGTTCGATTCCTTAGCACCACATAAGCAGGAAAAAAAAAGCCGAAGTGGTGCTATGGCTCAAGTGGTAGCGTGCTAGACTTGAGCTGAAGAGGTGAGGGACAGCGCCCAGGCCCAGAGTTCAGGCCCCACGACTGGACCCAAAAAAAAAAGATTTACAGTACTGTGATATTTATTATAATGATCTGTGTAATTTTTTCCACTCATAAGCTTCTGAATTGAGAGATTTTAATATATTGATGCGCTTAGAACCTAGCATGTGCATTGCATATACTTAATAAATATCAAATTCTAATCTTAGTCCACTGCCTACATTTCCTTAGCAGTACTTAAGGTTTCTAAGCCTATTTCCTCATATGTAAAATGGGTCATGATAACAGTAGCTACTATATGCAGAAATTGAAAAGAGGTATTCATTAAGCAATTTGCATACTACCTAACACATAACTAGTTTTTTCAGCCCATAAGAGTGTACTTGTCTGTTACTTCAAGTAAATCAGAATGCTAGGTTGAGTTAGATTCAACTCAGTGTTAATATAGTTTTGGACAAGAGAGGGCTCTCTTCCTCCAACTATGAAGATCATTAGCGAAGTTGCATTCTTAACATGCATTTTTTCTTTTTGCATATATTCATTGTATCAGTGGAATTAAAATATACAGATATATATTATCACCAAGTTCTAGACATGGTAAAATTGGTAGATAGTAAAAAAAAAAAGTTTTTCTCTTTTTTTATTGAAAGTTAGCCTTTGATGTACAATTCCTTTTCATATCAATTTAATCATGTCCAAATTCTATAGAAAATACCTATAGAGTTTAAATTTTTTTATCCTGATAATGCTAAGAAAATATTTAATATGCCATTTGAGAAGTTTGTCGCACCTGTTAATACTTTTCATATTGTTGAATTCACATATTCATGTCCTAACTGTGATACCCTATTTATTATTGCATTTTCTAAATTAAAAAAGACTTAAAGTCTCCTTTAACCACATCACCTTAAATTAGCCTACATTTGCATAGTAATTAATAATATCATTGTGCATTAACTAACTTACTATCTTGATTTTATTCCTGTCTTTCTGGCCTCTCTTCCTCTTTTCACCAGCAATTCTTCCTTAGTCTTACCCTTAGGTGTGTTTCTCAGTGTTCTTACCTGGACATCTCTTTAGTGTTCCTGTGTAATACTATCTACTTCTGTAGTTTCAGGTTGCCACCATAGAAAATGTAAAATAAAGGAGCAGATGAATATTCAGCTGGATGCTTGATGGCTGAACAAATGAAGAGGGAGGAAGGGAGGGCAAAAGGAGGGGGGAGAGAAAGAAAGGGGACGGAGAGAAAGAGAAAAGAAACAGAAAGGTCAGTATCTTGACCTTGAGGATGAGTGAATTTGCTTTGGCAAATAAGGGCAGAGCATCCTACTTAGGTAGACTGTCTTGGCAGAAAGTTCAGGTTTTTACTCCTCTCATCATTGCCCTTTTTAAAAGCAAATACAATTTTATTGTTATTATTAAGATGTTGTACAGAAGGTTTACCATTTCATAAGTCAGATAAAGACTACAATTCTTAAGTGGTGCTGTAGCTCAAGTGGTAGAGCCCTCGCCTTGAGCTGAAGAGCCTGAGAGACAGTGCCCAGGCCCAGAGTTCAAGCCCCACGACCAAAAAAAAAAAAAAAGACTACAATTCTTTTTGGACAGTGGCACCCCTTCCTTTGCTTTTCCCTAGTTTCCCCCTCCTGTCTCTCCCAAATTGCATTGTTCATTCTCCACCTAATATGTAGAGAATACCATGACTGCATTTGTTCATTCTTTCTCTGTGCCTCCTTCTTTACTCCCTGAAAAAAAGACAAAAACAAAAAACAGACCCCCAGAAAACCCCAAGCCCATTTCCACTTCCTAGAATTTGTTTCAATAAACAGTATTTTGCATGTTCAAAGGAGTTAATGCATTGGGTTCCTCCCCTAAGAGTATCTTCCTTTAGTCTGACTGTTAGTGTGTGAATGCCCAGAGTTCTGTATAAGTTATCATGTCCAATTGTATATTAGGTCTAACTTCCACATATTATCATTGCCCTTTTCCTCAAGGCCACCTCATCTTTCAGGTTTCAGTTTAGCTCCTTGGAAAGGCATTTCACCCACTTTTGCAAGAACCCTGCAGTTCTTTAAGAAACATTCTTTAGAAATTCCCTTTTGAAATAATTTATTTTCTGTGAAGGAATGGACATGTGGCTTGTGTAATTCATCATCTCTAGTTCCTAGCAGTGAATTCTACCAATTTCTCAGAGCTGAAAGGTGCCTCGGAGATCAATTCTGGAATCATGATAGAAAAATATTCTGTAGTTTTGCTCTTCAAAGTACAATACAGGAGTGAAGAAATGTTTTTCTAACAAAAGCCATTTGAATATTTATAACATCATTCGTAGGCTATATAAAATTACTAGTACAAACAGGAAGCTCAGTATAGTGGATGCACTAATATATCTTCAGTGCTTTTCTTATTTTATTTCCCTCAGCCTTGGCAGAATTGAAGTCTTCCTTTATGATATGACTTTGGCAATATATTGTGATAAGGGAATCTTTTTGTAATTTGTAAATTACTACTTTCAATTGTTGAAAATCACAAATAAAAGAAGTTATTTTTTAACAAACTATGGGTTTGATGTGTTTTTTAGCAAAAGTAGGTTGATATATATCTATATATACATACACATTTGTTTTTAAAATTGAATGCTACCTGTTTTAGGTTATATGAGAGTGTAATATAAATTCCTGCCTAAAAGAACCTATCATTTTATTTGGGGAGATAAGCTAAGGAACCTGAAAGATTAGAAAATGTAAGAGCACAAAAGAACCAAACTTGAGAAGAACTATGGCTATAGCCACATCTGTTACACAAGTGTAAATGGTACTTTGCAAAATATTGCTAATGTTGGTTTGTTTGTTTTTTCCAGGACATTCTTCCTCAAAGGAATCAGAAGATTCTGTAAATCGTAAGTGTCAAGCCTTTATTAAGTAGTAACATATAGATTCATAACACTTCCAGTTTAGATTTTTTATGAATTGTACTTGCTCTGATGTGAATTATTCTGTTTTTGTACTACATGCGAAGAATCACAGAGGACCAAAAATGTTTATTCTCCAATTTACAACAATTAAAACAATTTACAACAATTAAAATTTCTTTTCAGTATAGAGAGCATTAAAATTGTTTTCAAATAAGTACAATGGACACAGATTTTAAGTTCACATGATAAAATGTGATGGAAAAGTAAGTATGTAAGTGTAAGTTAAGTAGAAAAAAAATGGGTGGGTGTTAAGCCTTAACTTGTCTAGCTGGGCATAGTGACTCATGCCTATAATTCTTGCTCTCAAAAGGAAGAGAACATTATAGCTCGTTGTTAATTATCATGGAATAGTCACAAAAGCCAAGATGTTAGGCCTGCTTTCATAATTTAGAGCGTCATGTATAAAAATTGATAATTTAGAGCATCATGTATGAAAATTGTATGTGGTTGTTTGTAGGCCCCATATTCTAAAGGGGATATTGAGGATGAAGCAGGTCAGGAACAGAACAGCCGAGGTGTTATAGGGAGAATATTGGTGGCACTGCACATGTTTAGCCTGGAGAAAAGTGTTGAGAGGAGAGGAGGCAAGGGCACAGACATGGAATAGATGTTTGGAGGCTTTTTAATGACTTTGGTTGGCAAAACTAGAACCTATGCATAAAAACTGCCTGAAAACAGTTTTTTTTTTTCCCTCATTCTTAGAAAAAACTTGTCACTTACAACAGTGAGTAAAAGAATTGAGGGAAAGATCTGCCTCAGGAGGTATTATGTCCAAAGCACATTGTAGATGGAAACTTGCTGGACATGTTGCAGTGCAAGATGTATTCTTTGCGTAGGACTGTTCCCCTTCCAGTCAGAGTCAATGACTTTATTCTGGCCCCCCACCCTTACCAATAGTGTTTGTAGAGATGAGACAGTGACTCTCTAAGACATGGTTTTGTAATGAGCACTAACTTATTGTTACTTCCTTGGCAATATCCCTTCCATCTCTAGCAGGTTGTAGCAGTTGTAGCAATGAATTGTAATAATTCTTACTCTCAGGAAATTAGGATATTTTCGATATATACTGTTGTACTGGAAAAGTATCCACTTTAAAAAATGAGTTGTTTTATAATGTTTACATTGATGTGATTTTTTTTTTTTAAAGTAAAATCACTAAATTGTCTGATATCAGAAAATAGGGAAACTGACATGTGGACAATGTTCTTAGAAGGGAACAGGGTAGTACTGAGGCTTTTTAAAATGAGCTACCCATTGTGCATTGTAATTTGAGGTAAGTCTGAGCATAAAAGTTCAAAAGACTCCATCTCAATGAGCACACTACCATGCATTACCATGTGCATGTTATCCCAGTTTCAGGGAAGCACAGTGCCTGGGCACAAACGTAGGCTGGCAAGGGCATAAAGTGAGACCCTATCTCCAAAAGAGCTCGAGCAGCTGGGTGCTGGTGACTCACACCTATAAACCTAGCTGCTAGGAGACTGAGATCCAGAGAATGATTATTCAAAGCCAGCTTAGGCAGAAAAGTTTTAGGATCTGTCCAAAATAACCAGCAAAAAATGTAGCTTGGCGGCGTGGCCCCAAGGGTAGAGCAGGTAGAACCCTGAGCAAGCAGAAAGTCCTCCATGCGTGTTCTAGTAGTAGTACAAGAAGGAGAAAGGAAGGGAAGAGAGAGAGGGAAGGGAAGAGAGAGAGGGAAGGGAAAGAGAAGGGAGAGGAGGGGAAAGGAAGAGATCAAGGCAGGGAGGCTTGGCCCAAGTGGTAAAGTGTTTGCCTTGCACCTGCCGAGGTGGGAGTTCAGACCCTATTACAAAAAAAAAAAAAAAAAAGGTCCACTATCAGTTTGTGATACTGGCAGTTCTAGTGATGGCTATATTTTAACAGAAATCTCTTTCCCAAGATTAACTTTATAATTGTTTGTATTAGACAACAACATTATTCCCACCCTTCTGTTTTTGTTAAAATTGATGCCACAACAGATTCAGTAAGGAGCAAAGTTCAGACACACACATTGATTCAAGGATCAAAGTCCAACAGGTAAAAGGCTAGTACCACCGTGGCAATCAATCCAGTTTTATTTTTGTGCTATGCTGAACATTTTGCATAGGCAAAATTGGACTAGATGTAGCAATTTAGTATTAACTCTTAATGGAATGATTTCTTGTGATACAATTGTCTTTGATTTAGTTTCTTCTTTTTCATAGTCATACAAAAACCCTAAGATTCCTGTAGAGAGCATATTTACATAAGAATCAGTATGTCAAGAACTAAGCCACTATGTAAGACAAGATAGTTATGGAAAATATTTGTCAGAAATTTTGTGAAACTAATGTTGAGTATGTGAATGAGAAGAAATGTATGTCATTGATCAGACTTGTTTTCCAACATGATGCAGAGTTAAAATTCTGTAAACTTTTAAGGAAAATCTACTAATATGGAGCAGTTTAAAATGGCCTTTGATGCTGCTTTGAAAAGATTTTGAATAAATAATCACCTCAGTTATCTATATGTGTAGAGATGTAGTCTATTTGACTACATCAAAAGCACATAGGCAGGCTGAGGATATGGTTTGTTTGTAGGACTGGGTTCAACACTGCAGAAAACAGAGAAACCAAAACAACCTATACCCCACCAATCAGGGATTAAGGGTTAAATTAATTTAAAAGAAAATAAAGATGAAAAATACTACGGAACTGTTTAAAAATTCTAACTCTATGCATGTATTAAAATAGAGGAATGAAACCTGGTGAAATTGTTTTAAGAAGGGGGAGGAGGTACGAAGGAGTGATGGATAGGGTTTGATTGGCGACATTGCATATATGGGTGGACATGCCATAGTGGACCCCTTCCTGTATATGTGCTATTAAGAAAATCTTAGAAAACAGAAACAAAAAACTTTGCTGTAGCAACATATATTGCCGGAGAAATTGTCCATGCCATATCAATTAAATTTTAAGTTACAGAAAATATGCACTAGATAAGCTAATTAATGTTAAAGGCATTGTATATATTATATACATACATACAAATATGTATTATATAAATATATATTAAAGAAGATGCAATGTATTGTTATATAATAAGCTATATTTTATATAGTATTTGGGTTTCATGTATATATTTTTTAAATAGGGTTGCAAGGGCAAACCAGTGAATATATTGCCTGTGAACCTATATACTTTTACTTTCAACTTTAAAGACTTTCATATTACTTGTACATTATACAATGAACCTGTATTATCTTCAAAATTAATAAAAAATAATAAACTTGGTTTTGGGTGATACTGGGAATTGAAGTCAGGGCCTTACACTTGCTAGTCAGGGACTCTACCCATTAAGTCATTCCTCCAGTTCTTTTTAAATTTTTGTATTGTTTATTCTTAAGGTAAGGTCCCACTTTATGCCCAGAATTGTCTGGGCTGTGATCTCCCTATTGTGCTTACATTGGTGGAGGTGATGGGCACACACCCAGCCATTGTGTTTCCTCTTTACAAGCTGTAATAAGTGTGTACTTACTGCACTCAGGTATTGGTTGAGATGGAGTCACACAAACTTCTTTTTCTCCCCAGCTGGCCACAAATCCTCTCAAGTATCTAGAATTACACCACAACTGGCTTAAAGAGAAATGGTCTTGCAGTAGTCTTAAAATAAATAAACTCTCTACAAAGATCTTTATTTTTTTTTTTAATTTTTTTGGGGGTCTGGTCGTGGGGCCTGAACTCAGCCTGGGTGTTGTCCCTCAGCTCTTCAGCTCAAGGTTAGCTCTCTACCACTTGAGCCACAGCGCCACTTCCGGCTTTTTGCTTTTTGCTTATGTGGTGCTGAGGAATTGAACCCAGGGCCTCGGACATGCAAGGCAAGTGCTCTACCACTGAGCCACCTTCCCAGCCCCCTGCAAAGATCTTAATGTGCATGTCTTCTGTAGGACCAAGAAAAGGAAGAAACTAAATCAATTGCTTTTACTCTGTAACTTACAGAAATTTCTCACAAGACATTAAGTCCTTGGCTTTTTTGCCAAGAGTGGACTTTCCCATATTATTGATTTATTTAAAGAAATGATTGTTTCTGGATCTGTGAATTAAATTAAGCATGCTAAATTAACTGGTGAGTGGTTCAAAATGTGTTTTTAAAAAGCTACATTTTTTTTTCTTTGAAATGAACAGGACATACTGATGAGGAAGAAAGTGCTTCAGAATCCGAGTTGTGGAGGGGCCCACTACCAGAGACAGATGAAAAATCGCAGTAAGTGCTGACCGTAGTGCCTAGGTCAGTTATCTTTAGCTGCGCCTACAGTTATATACAGCTAAAGTATGTATATGTATATATATATATATATATATATGTGTGTGTGTATATATATAACTATAACTTTAGCTGTGACTACAGTTATCTTTAATAACAGTTAATGAGAAAATTTAATACATTCATGTCTATTTTATGCCAAAGACTATGGCACCTGGTAAGATCAGAGCTTATTACCAGATATTGTGGCCATTAACAGCCAATGTGAACAGCTTCCTCTCCATGAATGAAGCTTTCATCAGCTCACCTGAACAGATGACCCTCTGGACCTTCCTTGAATTCCTCAGAGAGAGCTGTTTACTAGGTTAGAGTGTCCCGTGATACTGTGGGCCCCTTGGAGATTTATACAGGTATAGAAGCGCCCCTGCCAACACCTAGTGACAGATAACTCAGTGCACTTGTTCTGTGCTTTGAATATGGGCTGGGATGTTATCAGCTCTTCCTGAATACTAGGATGTTCACCACTTGAACTTTATCTGTTAAAAGGGGAACATAACTAGCACATAGTTTTTTCTGGGAGGAGTAAATTAAATAACGCAAACTATATAGTTCTGACCTACAAATAAATATAATGAGTGCTCATGAAGTTTTAGTTCCATTTTAGCAGTGCCTAGCCAGATTGCTTCATAATAGAAAGAGATCTATTGAATCAATTATAACTCATTAATATAAACTGGTTATAAAATACTTGCTATTTAAATGATATGTTCTCAGTGTAATAGAATTTAGGTGTGTTCAAAACAGTTGTGTTTTTTTTTTATTTTTTTATTTTATTTTATTTTTTTTGTCGGGCGTGGGGCTTGAACTCTGGGCCTGGGCACTGTCCCTCAGCTCTTCAGCTCAAGGGGAGCGCTCTACCACTTGAGCTACAGCGCCACTTCGTTTTCTGGTGGTTTATTGGAGATAGGAGTCTCACGGTCTCTCCTGCCCGGGCTGGCTTTGAACCGCGATCCTCAGATCTCAGCCTCCTGAGTAGCTAGGATTACAGGCGTGAGCCACCAGCGCCCGGCTTTGTGTTTTTTTTTTTTAAAGCAGGCTTTCTTTTTCTCTTTGTCTGTGATCTTTTTTTTCTAGCCAAATAGAGAACTCTCCAAAGTATGGTAATTACAGGTCAGTTTATTTTTAAAGGCTATTACTCTAAAATGATCACTCCTTTGTACAGCTATTTGAAGTTTTTTTTAAATCTGTTGCTTTAAATAAAATATTGCTAGCCAACTTAAACTCCCAACCACTTAATGAGCACCTGCCCTTGAAGAGAGTTTATAACTGAATGACCAAAGAGGTCATCTACTCAACTGATCTACAAAGGTAATAAAGGTACATGGGGCTGAGGGTGTGGCTCAGTGGTAGAGCAATTGCCTAGTGTGAGCAGAGCCCTGGATTTGATCCTCAGCAACATACAAACACACAGAGAAAATCTTATAAAAAAAGCTTTCATAATATAAAACTCTGTATCAAGTGCTGGGCATACAGCCTATATAGCTATTCTACCAATTTCACACATACAACTTCTTTCTACAGTTTTAAAGTCTTGGTGCATTTTGCTGTCGTGCTAATGACAGCCAGTGGGGAATAGCAAACTGCAGATAATTTTATCAATTCTACTTGATTCTGTATTTTTTTTCTTATATTTGAACACAGCTTTATACATTCTCAAGTATTTAATTCGAAATGACAGAGTCCTGTTGCGAATATATGACCTACAAGAGATTGGTAGTCTAATTTTTATTACCTATCTTGAATCCCTGTTCCCAGAAGGAAGCAAACTGTATTTATTTCAGCTGTGTGAGAGCATGTACATTTCAAATGAAGTAGGAAATTAGCTTGGTGGAACAATTAGAAAGTGACAGAGGTAGGACATAGGTTTGACATGCTGGCTCCTGTCACTGACATTCAGTTAGTTGTTTTCACGTGTCATAGTATTGATACATTATATTCTAACTTAACATGCAACACTTTAGTCTTCATTTTAGATATAATCTAAAAATACATGACTAAAAATACATAAAATATTTTACATTTTCACAACAATGAAGTGCTGTAATCCAAGCAGATTTCCCCGCATTCCTAGGAGCAAGGCTTATGTTTTTCTTAAAAACAGCGTTGTTTTTTTTTTTTAAAGTTCATTTCTTGAGCAGATTCTAGTTTGAAATAAGAATGAATGAGCGTAAACTAAAAATAAAAAAGTAGAGAAGCAGTGGCATTTCACAAAGTGCTTCAAAGCAAACAGAATCTTAGATGATTCATTTTGGGATTGTGCCAGTGTGAAATATTTTCATTTTAATCAGTGTGAATATGCTTTTCTAGAAACCAAGAATCATTTGATGTTGAATCATGGAAATATGTAGATACAGAAAAGAATCAGCCAGTGTGTGGAATTTAAGTATTTTTATTTATCTCATATAATGTGTCACCTAATACTTTTCTCCTACAATTATTATTTCTAATCAATATGTATTCTCTTTTAAACAGGGAAGAAGAATTTGATGAGTATTTTCAGGATTTATTTCTTTGAGACATGAGGTTTTACCTACAAGTTGCAGCTTGAATGGCTCCTCTTAGGATTACAGCTGCTCAAGAAGTTCATCAGTTTTGTGAGAAACATTTCTTTTATATGTCTTCAATTGCCCATCAACAGCTGTTTCATCTTGTAGTCTTTGCTGTGTGATATTACTATGTTAAAGGACATTTACAAATGGAATGATTGGCATTCGTCTTACTTTAAGAATGGCTAATATTAAGAGTTTTTTCTTTTATTAGACAATTGTTGCTAATTCTACAGATACTTATAAGGCTTCTATATTATATTTGAGGCATTGTGTATAGCATTGCTATAAATGAACTATCTAGGAAGTAATTATGTAATCTATTAAAAAACAGTAAATCAGTATTGAGTTTATTAATATTGAATATGTCAAAAGTCCTTGAGTAAAGTTTTGAAGGTATTTGTTTGTTTTCATCTTGCTGCTTATAGTGAATAAAAAGGAATCTTAATTTCTGAGGATAAATATTTGAAATGTTCAATAGCAAAATTGATATTAGTTATGAAACATATGTAGTTAACATTCTATGGTAATAATATATTCATAGGCTGAGTGCCAGTAGCTCCTTCTTGTAGTCCTAGCTACTTAAGGCTGAGATCTGAGGATCTAGATTTGAAGTCAACCCAGACAGACAAATCCAGACTCTGATCTCCAATTAACTAGCAGAAATCTGGAAGTAGATCTATGGCTCAAGTGATAAAAGTATCAGCCCTGGGTGGAAAAATCTAAAGGAGAGCACCAGGACATGATGAGTTCAAACCCCAGTACCAGCAATAATAATAGTAAAGTCATCAGAAAATAAAGTCCCTGGGGCTGGGAAGGTGGCTCAGTGGTAGAGCGCTTGCCTTGCATGCCTGAGGCCCTGGGTTCGATTCCTCAGCACCACATAAGCAAAAAGAAAAAAGCCGGAAGTGGCGCTGTGGCTCAAGTGGTAGAGCGCTAGCGTTGAGCTGAAGAGCTGAGGGACAACACCCAGGCCCAGAGTTCAGGCCCCACGACCGGACCCAAAAAAAAAGAAAAGAAAGTCCCTGAAAAATTAAGGTACCTGGAAAGAATAACCACATTCTCTTTTAGAATAAATTCAAATATTGGTAATTAAGGTAAGGGAGTACTGTATAGGTATCACTTACCCAAGGTGATGGCTTTGTTATTCCTTACTTACACCAATTTCCTATAACCTTTATTCAAAATATCCTTCATTCATGTTTATCAAGTGTCTACCTTATGCCAGCACCATAGTTCTAAGATAGAGCTGTAAGCAAGGCAGACAAGTACCCTTCCTCATGAACCTTATACTCTAAAAGACCTAACTTGGAAAAAAAAATGATCTATGTCTTAGCTGCTTAAAACTTGTCCTTATGTTCTGTATAGTAAGACATGCTTGGGGTGCATAGATCTTCAATTTATTACAATTTAGATATTTTTACAAAAAATCCTTATGCCAAATATATGGTGCTTGCTATTGGTCCTGATTTCTAACTTCATATAAGATTACAAATAAATAAACCTTAAATTTCTGTGATACCAGACAGATAAATACCATGTAATGGAAATAGTTGGTTATCCTTAGTTTCTCCTAACAATTTAATATTTAGAAGGCTTTATAGAGTACTATTAACCATTGAGAAAAGTCATCTTTTTTAAATTTTTTTTATTGTAAAAATACTGTACAGAGGGGTTACAGTTACATGAGTGTAATGAGTGCATTTCCTATCAAGCATTGTTACCTCCTCCTTTGTTTTTCCCCTCCCCTCTCTTCCCTCCCACCTCCACAACTACACTCCCTCGCTCCCCCCACTCTCCACCTAAATTGTAAAGTTTGTTTTTCAACATAGTGTCCTGTATATCTCATTGTTACAGTGGGTCAACCTGTATCCCTATTTAAGCATTTTGTTTGTTCTAGACTCCTTAAAGGAGTTCTTATGCAAATCACATGCGTCTTTTCTTTTTGTAAGGGGAATTAAGAAAGAGTTGTCTTATACCACATAGGCTGGCCTTGAAATTATGCAATTATAGGCACATTTTATCATACCCAGTTTAGATCACATGTTTCTTAATGCTGTTACTCACTACCTTCACTTGTACTAGGATAATCCAGGTATCTTGTAAGTTGATAATTCTTTCAATAAGAAGTATAATTCTGAATGTTAAAAATGTTACTAATTACATATAACAATATAGTTTTTTTTAGATGTTGACATGAAGGAGGCATAGGACAAAGGAACAGTTTTCATTAACTGCCAGAAATGGTGTTGTCTTAATGCCTTTATCAAGGGTAAAAAAAATAAGCATAGGAAAGAGATGATAAGTGTTTGAAGTAGTACAATGCTTGACATCTTTTTTTTCTACTTTCTGCACTATATTTTCTCTTTGTGTGCTGTATGTACTCTTAGCTAGGACATACTAATGAGAAGTTTTTAGTTTAGGAAGTGTTTGAAGTACAAATCATAGTTGTGAATGCTGTGGGCTGAATCCCCACATACACAGCTGCCAATCATATGTTGAAGTTCTATCCCCAGTACAACATTGAAGATAGAGCCATTAATGAAGTAATTAAGATTAAAATGAGGGGTCTCTAATCCAATAGGATCAATGTGTCCTTATAAGAAGATTAAACTGGGACATGGGCAGACACAGCTGGATAACCACGTGGACACACACACACACACACACACACACACACACACAAGTCAGGGACATGGGCAGACACAGTTGGATAACCACATGCCCCCCTCCCCCTCCACACACACACACACACACACACACACACACACACACACACACACACACACACACACACACACACACACACACACACACACACACACACACACACACACACACACACACACACACACACACACACACACACACACACACACACACACACACACACACACACACACACCCCAAGTCAGGGACATGGGCAGACACAGTTGGATAACCACATGCCCCCCTCCCCCTCCACACACACACACACACACACACACACACACACGTCAGGGGCCTCACCAAAACTAACCCAACACCTTGCTTCAGAGCTTTTGGGTCCAGCCTTCAATGACAATCTTAACAAATAAATACAAGTGATACATTTTAACAAACTTTTTGTGACTAGTTTCAGGATTGCATAGATTTTAAGTTAAAATAAATTGGCACCAAAAATGTACCCATTCTGTCTAACTTCACTTTTGTTGATGTTTATTTTATCCTCGGGTCTTGTATACTCTCTTGAAAGTCAAAGAGATTTTCCTGAAGATGCTTTTGCTCTTTTATTTGATAGGTTACTGTATGAAATTTACTGAAGTTCTTTGGAATGTTTAATGTTTTCCTTGGGAACTAAGATGATATTTGAAATATAGGCCATTTGAATTGCGTCACAACATTAAGCATGTTTTAGACTTCTTGTCATCACTACCACGTCCCAAATCTTTAGCAGCTAGTAAAAAACAGAAGAAGAAAAAAACTATCATTAGGAACCATTTTAAATCATCATGTTCTTATTTTAATACTTTCATGATAGTTGGTGTCAACTCTATAGCCTAATTAGTAGTGTTAACCTATAAGAAGTACTAAGACAAAATTTTATCCACAGTAGGTTTACTTAAAAATAGAATCTGATAAATAATTTGCTGATTAATATTTCAGTTTCTCAGTGATGCTACACATTTGAGAATGTTAGTTAAACGAACAAGATTTGATGTCAGGAGATGCAAAATAGTTGAGAAGAAGTTCAAATTCAGAAGTAAATTTTTATACATATGAAATACAAAAGACCTAAATCCAAAACACTAAATAATAAAATATCAAGGGCCAGTTGAAGGATCTGATTCTCTCTTTAACATGAATTGGGACAAATGGGAAATATGGAAGGACTAAAAATAGCCTTGCTTCTCACATGCTCAGTGAGAATCACTTCTGTCTTTGAAGTGTACTCAGGCCTTAGTAGTGGACTAAAATGCAGCCAAGCCTCAGGCTGTGTACTCTGGCTGTTGCCTGTGCTACTGGCCATATCTGCTGCTAGGGCCTCCTGGCTCTCTTGGGTCTGGTTTTACACTTACTTTTAAATTCTTGTTACAGTGAGCTTATTTTCATTTTAACAATTTTTTTTGCATATTCCTATTTTCCCCTCCTCGTTCTCCAGTCTTGCTCCTCTGTGTGTGAGCCAGAGCTTATGTTTTGACACTGGCATGGGTGTCCTTCAGAGCTTCCCCCAGGCTTTCTCTAAGGCCTTATAAGGGCTGTCCAACATATGGCCTTGATTAGAACAGACCCAGTCAATAAGTAAGTGGATGTGTAGAGCAGTGAAAAAGTCCTGTTTTTATTCTGCTGAAAGATATCTCTAACTTCATTAAGGAAGATACTATTACTTTCTGAATTGATTAAAATGCCACCAAACACAATAGAACCATCAAAATGAAATGAATCTTTTTTTTCAAGGCCTTTCTACACAGAGATGTCTTTGTCTATAAGAATTCCTTAGAAAACCCTTACAGTGCTGAACTTTAAAGATAAAAGCTGTTGGATATCTATAAAACCTTATTAATTTATGTACCTATATCTATCTATCTATCTATCTATTTCAGAGTTTTAAAAATGCTGCCTAGAATTTTACAGTTATGTGTAGTATCAGCCCAAAGCTGTATTATTACCTGTGGTCTTACAGTTTCTATGGCTTTCATATTATTCCTAAAACCCAGTATTCTGCAGAGATGCCTTAGATGCCCCTCCTAGAAGGATAAAGATGACTAACTCCTCTGCCTCAGTGGGACTGTATTTGGAATTATACATAAGATCGTTGCTGAGAGAAACACAACCCAGAAAACCCACCAAATGGTTTGTAAAGTTGGCTTCCTGTTATGCTTTCCTCAAGTGACCTATACAGCTCAGCCTGACTTCCTGGTACTTTACAGGTAGCTAAAGCAGATTGTATCTAACCTTTCCCAACCATGTTTCCTTCTTCTTCCTTTTTCCCCTCCTCTTCAAGTACCTTCACCTTTGCCTCATACTCATCAGCTAGAGATTTCCATTCCACTCTGTTACTCTGAAGGCCACTCAGCATAGGTGTGATTTCTTCATGAAACCTCGAGAACTCCTAGAGAGAATTTTTGGTCAGAAGAGACTTAAAGTATACTGTTATTTTCAGTGTTTTTCATATGCTGAGAAGGAGCTCTAAGGTGGTATGCAGGGCTCAGAGCCACTGGGGTGAGCCTGACTGAGTGTATTGAGAGCCTGGGAGAGACAGATGTTCTCCCTGTTGCCTGCCTAAGCAGATCTGTCCAAGGCTTACATTTAAGTTCCACCCTGAATGAGATTAGAGTCAAAGCTCAAAGTACTGTGGAGAAATAATGTCAGCCCTGATGGCTTTCTCCATGGTGACTTTCTCACCCTGGTAAAGTCATTCTTTTTTGTTGGTGTTGTTTTGAGACAGGGTCTCTCAAAGTAACTTAG